CATTGAATTAAAAGAACAATTTAATTTTACATTTAACAGAATTTTTTAATTTTTATTTTTCAATCTGACAGAATTAAATTAAAAAAACGTTCAAACTTATTATAACGTATTCTACAATAATCTTCTAATACCAAATAAATGATGCTATCGGTAGTAATAGCCTGTTTTGAATTAATTGTAAGATTCTCTTCCTTTAGAGGCTCGTCTTCTTGGCTATGATAAACATATTGGTCCCACCGGAATTCGCATCCCAGCGTCCCAGGCCGTGCTAAGCCGAGTATTTCTAGCACACTTTCTCCCAAAATAACGTAATTTATGTTCGCCACGTAGAAGCACACAAGCTTCGTGCTGTGTCAATGACTACTTTGTAAATAATTCACGGAACTTGTTAATGCATACGAATGTATGGTAATATACCTGATGAAATGTGTTTAATCACGGTGTAATATGTGTAAGTATACCTCAGAGAGGGGAAATATTGCGTCTCATGGAATCTTTAGTAATCGTGTGGTCTCGTTTAATTCCCTCACAGTGTTTCTTCCTCCCATTCCAAATGTTTGCGTAATTTATGGCAAACAGAAAACATCATGTTTTTTTGTTATTTTGAACAGTAAGATATGTCAAACTACATTAGATTTCTTAAATAAAAATAATGTAATAACTAGAAATAATATATTTTTATTAGTAGTAAAACGACAAAAAAAATCTTCTTTTTAATTATGACATTGCCTACAGTTCTATCTGTAAGAATTATTACGTGAAAATCATGCCTGGGGCGATTGAATTCTAGCGCAGGCGACCATAAATGAAATTCAAATACCATAGATCCCATCGTTTGCTTTGTGCGCCCGCACCTACCGGTCTAATTAAATCCGTCCGGGAATTGGAAATTTCAGATATACATACGAAAACGAAGGATCAGCGAAAAAAAAAATACAGATCTACTTTTACACTTTTCGAGAGCGGGAGGGCTTGTTATTTGAATTGGTAATACAGCTGGGGCACTTGAACGCATCGACGAGCCCCGATGTTATTAAACTTCTCCCGATCGATGAAATATTAATGCGAATGAAAAATTCTCCAGGTACAATGGTACCTTCGAACGAACGGAGATAATTATATAAATGGCAATTCCAGTTCCAAATTATACTTGCCGTTCCAGTAGTTCTCCATGAAGATTTCCATGTTTACGTCCACTTTTTCTTTCACAGTTTTGTAAACATGTTTTCGTCCCTAGGTATTATTCTACCGCCAACCTTCATTCGCGTATAATTTAAAACTTTGATGAAGTAACTTTGATGATGAAAGAAAATCATACAGTTTTTTTTAGATTCCGTCGCAGAGGAATTCAATTGGTCAAATGAAAATGTCAATAGAAATAAATTAACATCCCGTTCTGTACCTACTGTCAATAATGCACCGATCAAAGCCACGATTCTCTTTCACGACACGCGCTTCTGCTGTTCCATCCTATTAACGATTCACATCAATCGTGAAATTTATAAACCTGTAAATCGTGGTCCATTGAAAACTGCGGGAAGAAAAATGATTTACTCGCGACACCCGTACACGTGGAGTGGCCTCGGTCACATGGGAAAATGAAAATGAATATGCGTGTACACGTCGATCCACGCTGAAGCGTCGTGCTCGGAAAAACTCGAGTATCGTGGAATATCGATATTGCGATCGCTAGTGAGAGAATCGCGGTTAAAAAGAAACCGTATGCTAATAGGCTGGCGCCGACACGTGTACATCGTATGTATTCACCGTGTCCATAGAAAATCTCGTCTCTCGTCTGCATTTGCATTTTAATGCAAAAAAGAATTCAGAGAGAACCGAGTTTTTGGCCAAATCCAAATTTCGTGTCCATTTCTGTTTAACAGAATGTGTATAAACCTTACTTGCTTAGTTCACGAAACGAGTTATAAATTATTACCTTTTAAAGGATATTAACTGATCGATATTAATAAATAAATGCAGCAATTAAATTACGAACTTTATTTTAGAGAGAATAGAAACTAGAGAATTGAAACTGAAGATTGTGGCGATAAATTAGATGCCGTGTAGGTATTCTTGACAATTCAAGAACGTAGTATTTACAGTACGACCATTCCTCTGTTCATACACCAGTGTTTATTATCCCTCGTGTGGATACATCTGTTTCAACGGTCTCAGTCGTACACAAAATCACAAATCTCGACGATAAACTGCAGGTACATATTAACTTGGAGCCGGGACATTCGAGCGTGAAAGGAAACAGGTAGCGCGTTTCGATTGACACAAAGAATGGGAGTTAAACACAAAGCGAAGCGCGGAGCAATCGGTAACATTGATTCTCGTTTTTCTTGTTGCCGCGCGATTAACTGCGCTGACGAGCCCGACAAATACGGCCCGTGCGAATCGTTTTCAATTTGTTCATTTGCCAATGCGTTTTTGGCAGAGAAAGAACTAATTCATGATACTTTTCGGCGTAGTGAATACAATCCACAGGAATTCAATTTATTTTTTATACGATTTTATACTATTTGATACTTCGCAGAATATTAATGAATTATACTTCGATCTCCGACTTTTTTATATCTATACTTATATCTATATTGAAAAATATGTTTCCTTTTTTTAATTAAATGACTTAAAATTAATGTGCAACTTGGAAGAATGATTCTCGATCGTCTTTGATTGTTACATTATGAAAACAATTATAATTGTAAAATACTGGCACTGATGTGCCTGGATTTTGACGTTTCCAAGTGAAAAAAAGTATTAACTTACGTATTAAGAAATAATTAGCTACGTCATGAACTTTCGTTTCCATAGGGAAGACTAACAATCAGAAACGTGTCGAGGATCATTGTCCCAATTAACAAAGATATTTAAAGGAGAGGGGAATCAGTGAGAGACATGGAACGAGTGAAGTTTGAAAATAGAATTTTATTAGCTACGGTAGCAAAATACCTATTTACTTAAATATTTGGCTTCACAACGATTACCAGGCTAAGATCGTTTATATTAATATACAATATGTAAAGTGTGCCATATTGGATATGGGCAGTGTCCGTAGTAGTACGATAAACTTATCTCTTCGTACAAGATTTACGAGATATAAATATACATATAATATTTATAATAAGACTTTTACATATATATTATTTTACATGCTAGAGAATAGTACGCTAGGCACTTGATTTTTTTTTTTTCCTTGAATAGTTATAAAGACAGTAAAACTTAAGGCGTACACGGAACACCGTGGTGTAGGGCAGCGTTTCGCGGGAGATTCAGAAGACGAGCGAGCGGTTATGGGAAACGAGCGTGGAACGAGATTCTCGCCACGAGGGGAGACGAATAAGGACAGTAGTAGAAGCGTCACAGAAGGAATGAGAAGAAAAAGAATAGGAGAAAAACGAAGAGTAGAGAGGAAAGTGGATCAGGGAAAAAGAGTAGACGGGATTAAAATAATGGGGGCAAGATATTCCGCGGCGGAAGTCGGAGTCGAATTCTCTCCCTCTCTGGATTCTCTTTATTTCGACGTGGCCGCCGCGAATTCTTATCGCAATTGTGAACGATCTTTTCCTTCCAGGCTAGACTCCGTTTTTTAACGTTCTAGTTAGCGATACTGATGATTGGCGTCGTTTAAACATGAGACAAGTAGATAAAGAGAGAGAGGGAGAGAGAGTGGAATAGAATAAAAAGCGGGACGAAAGTAGAAGTAAATGAGTGACAAAGGAAATATAAGAGCAAAAATAAAAACGCGCTGGGTTTATCGTTTGTTTTTCGCTTGGATTTACGTGTTCTTTATACACACTTGACAGCGACTGACGCGGGACCTGAGGTTGCCTGCCTTCAGGGTCTGTTTCTCGGGCCTTTGGAACTGTTGCCTGTCCTCGATGGTGGCCATCCAAAAGCTGAACTCGTTCGCGTAATAATGGCAGTGTCCTTTGGCGCCGTTGCACTCGATGAACGGCGTCGCGCGGAAGTCTTCCAGACAAGATCCGGGACTAGACAGGGACTGTCCTCCGCCCTGGGAACCGGCACCGGTGTGCTGGAACGAACGCGCGGCGATTAGTCGAGCCTCGTTTCCAGGACTTCGTATTCAAAATCTTCGTCGAGCGGACGCGGCGCAAGTTTGAATTGGAGAACGGAGAGAACGTCTGAACGAATACACCGGCCGTCTCGACGAAAAGTTTTAGATATGTGTTAATGAGTCGGGAAGAAGTTTGCTTAAGAATAATCACTGGTACTTGTAAAGTACTTAGCAACCCAAGGGGCTAGAGTAGTCACGTGACTTTTCTAACATTTATCTTTAAAATTCTTATATTTTATCGATAGCCAGGCAAAAATAGTGCAAAATATGGATTTACGACAAATATGGATTTACGACATACTATTCTACATTTTTCTTCCTCAGAAAATCGAGAAAAAAGCTCGATTTAATATTCGGTTTAAGGTACATTCTTCCTTATTTTATCCTTACTCTACATAAAATTGTTTAAAATCCAAAACATAGTAACTATGATTGTTCCTTCAATTTATAACACTTATTTTGTTAAATATCGACATAATTTCACCAGAGCACTAGAATGTATCTTAAACTAAATTTAAACGAATTTTGTTTTGATACTCTGAGAAATAAAGACAGAATTGAATAACACGAAGCGATATTTTTGGCAAATTTAGTGGTTAACATTGTGAGTCTGCCTATCGGAATCTATCCCGTTAAACTATTGTCAATACTCTTCATGCGATATGCAAATTTAGTACATATGAAAAAATTGTAGCGGATGAATTTACGTACCATGATAAAACTGTAGCCAATCCAGAGGCCGGACCAACCTTGTGGACATTCTGGAATACTCAGTGATTGACTGTGCACGGCTAGAACGTTCGCTGGAACCTCGCAAACCACGCATCTACGAGCAGAGGACAATAAATCATTTAACAACATAGCAACCTTCGCCCAGGGAGTTCAGTAACCGTAATTCAAAGCAAATCACACGTGTAATTTACTAATTCCTTTGATTGCAAGTTATGTTATTGACGAATGTGAATTTAATTAACAATTTCATTTCGTCTGTACTAATTGCGTTTAACTTTTCATCAAAACACCCTGCTTGGAAATAAAGCACATAATTTTCACGCGAAATAAAATTTGGCTTCACTCACAATCAGTTTGATATACAGATTGCCATAACATGAAATGAAGTTCGCCAAATGTTTGTACAGTATAAGGTACATAAATCATCGTTATTTTGTCCTGTATTTACTAAATATCCGTGGCAAATGTTTAATCATTGATAATAATCTATACAGCATTTGGATAGCATTTTATTATATTTTGTGTTTCTTTCGGCATTTATTTCACTGTATCACAAAATTTGATATTTGATGTTTAAACTCGGTTTGCATCTAATCAATCTACAGCTATCTAACTCTGTCGTCATTCACATTAATCAAAAGCGAAGCAAGTAATCCTTAGAACTGCACCATCGCGTTTAGTAGCCGTAATTCACAGTGAAAATTCAGAATCGAGCAGGACATCAATAAACCCTTTAATCAGTCATGTGTACCTGCGTATGTTGAAATCAATCACCGGATCGATTAAACAAGTGCTTAGACGATCCGAAGACGTGTATACAAATAATGCAACATTTATGCAATATTTTTTCCTTTCGAGCATAATAGATGCAAATAAAATAATTATCAATTATTTATATTTAGTATTTCTTTCTAAACAAACTGAACATTTATTGTATTGCTTAATGACTGTTTCTTGATCTAACTAATTATTTAACAATGTTTGTATTAAATTCACAAATGGTTGCTCGAAGGAGCACAATGATTGGAGTTCGAGTGTCGATTGTAACACAAAACAGATTTGTACTGGGAAGAGACCTGCTCTCCAAAAAGGAACATAGCCATGCACTTGGTGTACCTACTCTGTTTCATCGTCTTAGAGGAACGTACCTGGAGATGTACTCCTCTATTGCCGTCTCCTCAACAGGCATCATGGGAATTGGACTATTGGTCGACAGCCAGTAAGAACGATCGTTGCGGCTGGCGTAGTGGCAGACGTTGTTCACGTCGCAGAAGAGGAACGGCATCGTCGAGAACCTTCGTACGCACGAGCCGGCGTAACCTGTTTTACGATTATTTATTAAACAACAAAAAAAAAAAAACGAGAAAAAAGAATCGACGTATTACATAGACAGCTTTATGGAATATAATAATATGAATGTAGTATTTTAGTATTTTAGTATTTTATGATACTTACCTAAATCTTGCGAATGCGCTCTTTCATCGCCATCCGTCCACAGCAAGCTGTACCCTTCCCAGAGTTTGATGTGTCCAGCCTCGCAAACTGGCACTGCTTGGCTTTGGCTGTGTTTCACCAACAGGATACCAGTTAGGTAATCAGGCGCGACTTCACAAGGTAATCCTGGTTCTCCAGTGGGTCCCGGTACGCCCACAGGACCCTGAAGACCTGGTAGACCGGGCGCACCGACGGGTCCTGGCAAACCTGGTAAACCGACTGGTCCTGGAGGACCCGAAAGCCCTTGCGCACCCTTTACTCCGTTCAATCCCGGGAATCCTGGCGGTCCTGGAAGTCCTTTCTCGCCTGGCGGACCTGGTGGCCCAGCTGGACCTAAAGATCAAATAAATATTTGTAATACAGAATCAACAGTCTTAAATACTGTTTAAAGAATTAATTATTAATGGCATTTCAAGTTCATTATTAATAATAATTTTGATTTTATATTATGACGGATGTTCGTGCAAGATATTGGATAAACTATTTCCTGCTCATATAAAATTATAATTCTTGAAATTATTATGTTATTTTGTACTTACCAGGGAAACCACGATCTCCTTTTGGTCCCATTGGTGGCTCGATACAGTCTTCACCCTTGTCACCCTTCGGTCCAATGTATCCAATGGTACCCATCAATCCCTCTCTACCAGGATATCCTCTGTCACCCTTTTCTCCAGGAATTCCAGGCGGACCAGGGAAGCATATATCACCTTTGTCACCCTTTTCACCAGCTAGTCCATCGTATCCTCTTTGTCCTATAAATTAAGCAATGACAATTGATTCCTACGGACTTTAACGTATCGACCGATACAAATAGTATAATCGTACACTTTATCGAGTTTTTTCAATTAGATATAAATTACGAAATAATAAATACGAATATATTAATCGAATCTCACCTGGCAATCCTGGTTCACCCTTTGCACCCTTTTCTCCAGGCCATGATATAGCAGGTTCTCCCTTTTCGCCTCTCTCACCCGACAATCCTGGCGGACCTACAAGTCCTGGTAGTCCTTCCCGACCTGGCAAGCCGGGGGGACCAGGGAGACCGGCATCACCTTTCTCACCCTGTGGTCCAGGAGGACCATAAGGACCTTGATCTCCTTTATGTCCAGGCAAACCAGGCAACCCTTGCTCTCCTTTATCTCCTGGCCGTCCCGGTATTCCTTCGCGTCCGTGCTTTCCAGGCATTCCTGGCAAACCTTTCTCGCCTCTGACTGTCAATCCAGCAACTCCCGAAGGTCCACGAAGTCCCGCGTCACCTAACAAAATAAGTTCAATTCATAATAACGTGATTCGAACTACAATAGTGCTGCAAAAAATGTATAAAACATTGTAATCGAATGATTAAAGACCGTACCTTTTGGTCCCGGAAAACCAGGTGGGCCTGGATTTCCTACTAGACCTGGTGGACCCTGGTCTCCCTTCTCGCCATCGTTTCCAACAAGCCCTTCTAATCCGCGATCGCCCTTCTCTCCAGGAATACCCAAGAGTCCTGGAATACCTGGTTCACCTTTGTCGCCTTTCATAGCAACTGTCGGCCCAGGTGGACCGCGATCACCTTTCTCTCCATATGATCCAGGGATACCAGGAAGACCAACAGGACCTTTAAAAGACAATCGCATAATTTATTTCGTACAAATAATTAACGCACATTTTTTTCGTAAAATGTATTAAGTTTATAAAATGTTTTACCTGGAATACCACGGTCTCCTTTGACACCGTTAAGTCCAGGACGTCCAGGAGCGCCCATGTCACCAGCCAAACCAGGGAATCCAGGTGGTCCGGATGGGCCGATGTCGCCTCGTTCACCCGGCAATCCATCAATTCCAGGTGTTCCGGGTTCACCCGGTGCACCAACCGGTCCCTAATGATTCACAACGTTTTATTAACCGAGCCATTCACGGGAAATTGTAGTCACAGTAATCAAGAACAGATACCAGGTCTCCTTTAGGTCCGGTGAATCCACGAACTCCGGCATCACCTTTCAAGCCTTGAAGACCTGGTATACCATCGCGACCTGGTATACCAGGTTCTCCTTTAGGACCAGGCGCTCCATCCCTACCGATGCAAGGCAGTCCATTTTCTCCTTTCTCGCCATCAATGCCGTCTCTCCCGGGTGGACCACGAGGACCACGAATTCCTGGCATTCCCGGCTCACCCTTTTGCCCTTTCTCAGATACTTCTCCTGCTTCTCCTTTCGCACCCTGAAGAAGATAATTGTACAGTATTGCATTGAAATTTTCCGAAATTAAAATCTTTGTCACCCCTTTTTTTTATTTAAAATCTCGGCCGCTACAATCTTACTTGATAGAAACAAGAAAAACATAAGGAGCAATTATTTAATGTAAAACATTTACCGGTAGTCCTGGTAGACCACGGTCACCCTTAAGTCCATCACCTCCAGGAATACCAGGGAAACCAGGTGGCCCAACAGGGCCTAGATCTCCTTTTTCCCCAGTTAATCCTGTACGGCCAGGTTTTCCTTCCATTCCAGGTAATCCAGGGAAACCAGCTGAGCCTTTTTCACCACGCTCTCCCTTCATTCCCGGCGCACCCTCACCACCAGGTCTTCCTTGCAAACCAGGGGGACCACGTCTTCCTGGATAACCTTTCGACCCATCGATACCTGGTTCGCCACGATCGCCTTTCGTTCCTGGAAATCCTGGAAGACCAGCTCTACCAGGATTTCCTGCTACTCCCGGTTCACCTGCAAGCAATGAATTGTAAACCACATGATTGTCTGAAAAATCGACGAGTAACTATGGAATAATTAATATTTAATAATTCAGTACCTTTGGCTCCGTCGATGCCAGGAGCTCCTGCCACACCAGGCGGTCCTGATGGTCCAATCGGACCGGTGTCTCCCTTTTCTCCCGGTGCACCAGGTAAGCCACTTATTCCTGGAATGCCAGCATCACCCTTCTCTCCCATAAATCCTGGTAGACCTGGGAAGCCTGCGGGACCATCCTTTCCTGGTGGTCCTGGGAGGCCTTTCTCTCCTTTCTCTCCTACAGGTCCTGGCAATCCTGGACTACCCTTCATCGATATTCCGGGTTCACCCTTGTCTCCTTTCGGAGCTGGAGCACCTGGGAATCCTCTGGGGCCTTCACGACCAGGTTCTCCAGGGAAGCCCATAGGTCCCATGTCGCCCTTGTCACCGCGAGGACCTGGTAATCCTCGTGGTCCGACCGGCCCCGGCGCACCAATATCTCCTGATGGTCCAGGAGGGCCCTATAATTTCGAAAATGTTATTAATTACTAAGAAAAAATTATATCACGTGAAAATGAATTTGTATTCTTACCTCGAAACCTTGTAAACCTTTGTCACCAATTAATCCGTCTCTTCCTGGTGGACCTGGTTCTCCCTTTTCGCCAGGAGTACCACGGTCTCCCTTCTGTCCCTCCTTAATTTCGAATGGTGGACATTCGCCTATGTACGATCGAAAGATTGGATATATTTTAAAACAAACAAATAAATAATAATAATAATAATAATAATAATAATAATAATAATAATAATAATAATAATAATAATAATGAATGATGTATATCGAACACTTACCAGCTTCTCCCTTCTGTCCATACAAACCAGGTTCACCCTTCAAACCAGGGAATCCAGGGCGACCAGGTTCTCCAGGTTCTCCTTTTATACTAAGACCACTCGCTCCCTTTAGACCTGGAATACCTGGCCTTCCGGAAATACCATCTTGACCAGGGAAACCACGATCTCCCTAAAAATAACGCAACAGAATTCAATGTGAAATTTCGGCAAATAAATTACATGGAAAATTGAAATATATAAATGATTTAAATTTTAACTTACTGCGATACCCTTAGGACCCGGGAAACCTTCAAATCCCATAGCACCTTTCTCCCCAACAGGTCCTACGGGCCCTGGTGGGCCGGGTCTTCCTGGTTCACCTCTTATACCTTTCTCGCCTTTTTCCACTTTAAGCATATTCAAAGAAACCGTCGCCGGTGTACCAGGTTCTCCTTGGGGACCTGAGACTCCAGGTATGCCATCTTTTCCCTATTAGTAAAAGAAATCAATCCAATTAGTAATTTAGATGAGCTTCCAATAAAAACAATCGCTAATTTGTAATGTTTGGAAAATATTACTGGAAAATATTTAAGAATTTCTTTCAGTATAAGAAGCATAATAAACGATTTTTATACCGGTGCTCCAGGTAGACCAATTTGTCCAGGCAATCCGTCAGCTCCGGGTTCTCCAGGGAATCCTCGTTCTCCAGGCGGACCTCTTAAACCAGGGTGTCCAGGTACACCGTCCAAGCCTTTGTCACCTTTAAGACCAGGCAATCCCGGGAAGCAATCTTGACAACGTCCTCCCAGTTCTCCTTTTTCGCCAGGCGGCCCTGGATATCCTGGTGTACCGTCTTTTCCTGGAGTTCCCGGTTCCCCAGGCAGGCCAGATTCGCCTGGGAGTCCTGGAATGCCATCCAGAGAATCTCCCGGGAAACCGCGCGAGCCCATGTAACCACGTTCTCCCTTTTGACCCTTGTCTCCTTTCAAGCCAGGTATTCCATCCATTCCTTTAGGACCCTATATTAAAAGCCACATATCATCTCGTAAAATTTATGTTTTCTAAATATGTACATTGAACTTTCACTAATTCTAGTAATAGTGGACTTACAACAATGGACAATCCTTTTTCTCCAGGCAAACCTCGTGGACCTGGAGATCCTGCAATGCCATCGAATCCACGAGGACCTGTAGGTCCAGGGAATCCTGTAATTCCAGGCTCTCCCTTCTGTCCCTTATCTCCGGGTAATCCTTCAGGACCAGGAATACCTGATTCACCAGGACCACCGTGCAAACCTATGGGACCCCTTGGTCCCGGCTCTCCCGGATATCCATCTGAACCACGTGGTCCCGGGGGTCCTGGAAAACCTTGAGGGCCTTTCGGTCCAGGCGGACCTGGTGTACCTTTTCCACCCTAAGCGTAAAATTCAAAGCGAATCATTAAATTTATTCGCAAAAGAATTATCAGATCTTATTAACACACGAATTACTTTCATTAAGTAAAGAATAATTATAGACAGTAATACTCACTCCAGGTGGACCGGGAGGCCCACGCAATCCTGGAACACCCATAGACCCATCTCGACCCATTTCTCCTTTTTGGCCAGGCCGTCCAGGAAGACCATCCAGTCCATCGTAACCCCGATCACCTTTGTAGCCAGGAGGACCTGGGGGACCAGAGAAACCGTCCCTACCCTAGATAAAATTAATATTCAAATTTATTTCGTATTGATATTTTACCCTATACTAACAGAGTTAAATTAAGTAATAAAGAAATGAACTTACTCGTATACCCGGAGCACCTGGAAGACCCTTTTCTCCTTTTCCGCCCGGAGTGCCAGTTATACCGTGATCACCAATCAATCCTGGTTCTCCTTTTTGACCGTCCGGTCCCGTGTCACCCTAACATTATATACGCAATATTCCCAAAATTAAACGATGTGAACAAATAAAATCTCTAGAAGCTAGAAAATCATTCTGTTCAAAATAAAGATAAGTGAACAAAATATGTTGATTTTAATAACTGCAAATTTCAAACAATTCTGCAGTATGAGTGAAGCACCTTATAATTTTGTATTTTACTACCTTGTCTCCTTTTTCTCCACGTTCGCCGGGCGATCCTTTTACTGCTTCTGGGCCTCCTTCGAATGGTACTAGAGCCGTTCCGGGAGGACCAGGTTCTCCCTTTTGGCCTTTGTCACCCATCGAGCCCTGATATCCAAGACCCATCGAACCTTTCTCTCCTTTTGGTCCCGGAATACCACGTGGACCCTAATTTCATGTTCAAAATTATTTTCTTTTCTTATATATTTTCTCTAAACCAAACACGACTCCTAAAGTAACACATATTAATGTTATTACTTACGTAAGGACCACGTTCGCCCTTAGGTCCCGTATATCCTCGTTCTCCTTGAGCTCCTGGTGGTCCTGGAGGTCCTCTTACGCCATCAATCCCCGGTTCTCCTTTCTGTCCGACAGAGAACATACCAACGAACGCTGGCTGACCTTTGTCTCCCTTATGGCCGGGTGGACCACGGAAACCGCGTGGTCCTTGCTCTCCAGGGTAACCACGAAGACCAGGTGCACCCTAAAAGACAAATAAATTTAAGAATTATATTAAAAATTATGGCTCATTAGTTTTAACAATATAAATGTTCTTCCTCATTACTAAATAGTTTATAAATGAAAGAGAAAACTGTTTTGCAGGAAACATGTAAAAAATGTTTTATGTAAGCAAGACGCGTATTGTTATTTTTAAAAAGTAACTGAAGGTTCAATTCCATTTTCTAAATTGACACTACAAATGTTTTATTTTATATGAAACTATATAGTCTACTCAAAAAGGTATTGGTACGAAAACTTTTTACGATGTACATACATCTGTACCGTTACAGCCATCGCGACCAGGTAGACCAGAGGCTCCTGGCAAGCCAGGATGTCCGGGAGTACCGGGAATACCGCGGAATCCTGGCATACCCATTTTACCCTAAAACAAAAATAATACGATGAATATGAACGTGTGTAAATTCAAACATGTAATATATAAATTTAATTTAATACGTACGTATGTAAATTAAATTAAATACGTACAGTGTCACCCTTCGGTCCACGTGAACCTTGAGGACCGGGATCGCCTTTGTCTCCTTTTGGACCCAACAGACCTTCTGTTCCAGGGAAACCTTGTTGACCCTTGGGACCCTGTGGTCCCATTACACCTGGAGGACCCTGTGCAAACAGATTTACAGAAATTTTACACAATTCGGTTTTTCCTTATAATTATTTAAACCCTGTGAATCTTTCGTGTCATTTACTATCAAAATAATGTGCTTGACACAGTCTTATTTAATTTCCGAAACTGTTCAATAATAACAGGCTATCAATTAGCGTTATCATACTGTTTCCTTTAATCCATTTGCATAATACGGAAGTATAAAAAAGTAAGAGCATTTTTAAATCATTTTTTTCTTTCCAGTCGAATTCGCAACTATCATTCCCACTTCGATTGTTAACACCGTCACTACCGAATTTTATTTCAGTATTATCTATTATATTTATATTGCAAATGTAATAATATATTTATTAATAATATATTATGGTATAAGAATGTATTTATTTAAATTTATTAATATAATATGTATTATATTTTTCTCGTTTCAGTGATCTAACTTCTTCCTCACTATAATCAGAATTATTACTTTCATTTCTAATAACAGTCTCCATTTGTTTTTTCCAGCTAACGGAAAATGTCTACGTCGTACTCATTAAGGAACAATAAAATTGGGGGTGTGTATACACAGTGACTAGTAAAATTGAATGTTAATGATGCGAATGGATTAAGCCCATCCTTACCCTGGATCCTTTCTCTGCAAAGCATTTCGGCACGCAACAGCCCGTTCCGTTGCACTTTTGAGTGTATCCAGGCATCGGCACGACCGTGTAACTGCTCGGATAAGTGTCCGAGCCCCCGGCGGCGCCGAATCCTCCACCCCTTTGAGAGTACCCGCGACCGTGAGGATCTAAACGGTCATAATCGTCTCTGGATCCCGGACGTTTTTCTCCGTCGCCGTAAGGATCTCTAGAATCCTGTTCCCCTCTGCCTTCACTTCCATAAGTATCCTCGTAACCTCGGGATCTTCCATAAGGATCGCCGGCTTCTCGATTGTAGGGATCAAGAGGGCCTTGTCCTTGTTCCTGTCCGTGGCTGTAGGATCCTCGATCCACGCCGCCTGAGGAGAGAAGATTACCCTTAGTAGATGGATCGAATAGACGCGGCTATGAAACGGGGGATGAAAATGGATTGGAGTGCATTTGAATAGCGATCGGAAACGAGGATTAGGAAACAGTGGCGTTGCCCGATCAATGCAATTTTCCTTTGATAATCGAATTGCGAAATGATAATCCACGTGTTACTGACGGCACCAAATGGAATATTGATATCAGCCTATCGCCAATGAAGACTGTCAAAATTAAAACAGATTAATTCTCGTTTGCACAATTGAAATCAATTAATAATTTTCGGATGAGGATGTTTCATTACAAATGTTCTAAAATTTAACACAAGATTTTCATGATGTGTAATATGCGTGTAGAAAATACACTATTTATTAAAAGAATTAGTTTTTTAATATTGAACCAAACAACATAAATTTTTTGGGGTACTGCAACGTTAATCGAATTAATTAATTGGTTTTTATGAAACATTATACATGCATATACAAACGAGATGTTTCAAATTTTTACTAGAGATCCCAATAAAAAAAATTAAAAGCGCGAAGTTTATTTTTTCCATTGCGATTCCGACCGATGAAAATTTTTAACAAACTTTTTACACATTAGATAGTAAGTCTTCTAGCATTCCTTATAAAATTATATTGTTTCGTCCAATAGTAAATAAGTTGTTCTCTTTTAAGAAATGTTCGAATATTTTCTACACCTAACTTAGCTAATAACATGAAAGAAATAAGAACAAAGAATTTTTAAAGAAAATTGTATAGGTTCGAATATTTAGAATCGAATGCCAGTTGACAACGCCCAGATATTTGGTCGTCACCAATTTTACGCTTTCCTAAAATTCGATATTCTATTAGCCTGTTAAACATCAAACACCTTAAACTCGCGCGCGCGCACATTACCGTTGGTATTATCGATTAATAGAAACCTATTGGACAAGCATAAAAAGACCGAAGATAAATGATCTCATTAATTAGCACCAAAATTAAATTTCAGTTTTATAAAGTTTTAGCAAACTTCTAACGATAGGAGAAGAACATGCGTATAAATTAATAACAAAGTCTGTAAATCATTTAAATTAATGGGTTCATTATTACTTTCATAGCCTCCAGAATCATCGGTTCTGCGTCCGTATTCATCGCCATCCGGATACCGGTTGTAACGGTCATCGTAATTTTGGCCTTGATTGTCTAAGTACCTCCTATCTGACTCCTCTAAATCTGTAAATTAATAAACGAAATACATATCACTATTTTTCAATGACAATCTATAATTTATACGAAGTAATTAATTTATAGTTCAACAGAAAACTGATTAGACAACAGACAGACACGTTGAACGATAGATAATAAAAGTATAGATAGAGGAACATAAAAGTTGATATATACATAGAGAGACATGCAATTTTGTAAAAAATAAATATAAGTACCTCCTTCGTTCGTTACAAAGGGTCTCCATCGTGATGAAACATTATAATCGTCGTCCGTACTATTCGGTTTGCCGATATCACCTCGTCCTAGTGGGACAACTGGTTGAGGATTCGACCATGATGAGTAATTATATTGCTAGAAAAAAAGGAAGAAATAAAGAAAACGTCGTTTGATTCTATAATAAAAGTTACATAAAATAATAATTATATGTACTCGTTTCAATAGGATTAATTATTATGATACGAAGATACATGAAATATCGACGAAGATGTAAGAGCGATCTATAAACTACTTTACCGACGTAGTCTATCGATCACTGATCTTGTACGTACAATAGGTACATTGTGCAGCAAATAAATCTATCACCCTTCCGGGGAAAATTGATTTATATTTTAAATGATTAATAGCCTTTATCAAACGAAAATAAAGAACTCCTTTCCTCGCCTCTGTGGCATATAGATACACAATTTAAAATTTCTTCAATGTATTAATTAATTTTAATTATTCGTGCTTTATGTAAATCTTCAATATTTTTATGTTTTGGAAGACTTATTTATTATAATAAGCTACACTTGAAGCTTATAAGGGAAAATAATTTTTAAGTAAACTGATGTGGACGATTGAAATGAAACCTAGATTAGAGCGTCCACGCAGGAACGAAAAAAGCATAGGTAAGCGTCTGTATTAAATGCTTAGATATAAAGAAGAAGAATATTTTCAACCCGGATCTTCTTACTCCATAATATTTCTGAAGTTGCAACTTCAATTGTTGATACGTTATCAGTTATGCTTCCTGCATGTCTGAGTTTAACTTAAAAAATTTTTTTCATAGAAACACAATATTTTTATTCTAATTACATGTACATATAAAAATGCAGCGAAGAGTAAAGTGTCCATAAAATAGAGGACATCATAAACACATTCTATGATTTAATATAAATTTGGATATTTTTAATTAAAATCTCTTTAAATCACAGACTTATGCTAATATGGCAATTATTGTATAAACAAGATAATTATGAGTATATGCAAACACTTTAACTATTTCAAGGTTTGAAGGAATGTATAGAAAATTCAATATTTGCCAGTAAAGTAGAAATCAATTAGTAGCCCGATTCAGTCCTGTTCTACGTTCAGCATAAAATACTACAGATTAGCTCGATTCAGTTGATGCGTCATCGTGTTCGCAGAAAGTCATTGTCTTGCCCTCGTTTTCACGTTTTATTCTTTTTACATTTCGGGATGGCACGCACTGGCAGGAAACGCGGGGAGATAGCGCTGGCTCGTTATCGTTTCGAAACGATGCGGTACCGCGCCGCGTCTCTGCTCCGTTTCTGTTTCCTTAGCCCGTAGCCAACCTCGCTCGCGCGCGCGCGTGTTGCAGGCTCTCCCTCGAAGAAGTTGAATGAAAATACGGGCTTTATCGAAACGGAAGATACAATCTGTGTCACGATGACGCGATACGTTCGGGAAACATCGAAAAAAGGAGTAAGTAAATAAGTTCGCGAAGAGCTCACGTTAATTCGTCGGTGAATAATTTGAGGCAAATTCAATTTTATAGAATTGCTACGCGATAATAAAAATCTTTTAAGCTAATTGACGTACATAATTAAAGCGAGTTTCGACGGACGTCCGAGGAGTCGTAATTACGTGAAAACCTTTTTGATATTTGATTAATTTCTCATTACGCACCGTTGCCTAAGCATTAATTAATACCTTCATTAAATATCGTCGGCAGTTACTTCGAAACTGTGCCCACGGTGATATAATGTTAAAACGTTTTAATTGTTCATTACCGTTCCTTCCTTCTCCCTAATTGACGTGTAATTTTTTCAAATCTTCTCAAAGCTCGCTGATAGCATGATAATTCGCGGCGACCTCGCGACGAGTTAAACGCGAAACAGATTTACTGACATCACTGCTGAAAATGTACGCGAGGTCGCATTTCCTTTTATTCATCGCCGCAGGAACGAAGACGTTCTTACAGGCAATGTCTTATCTCTATTATAAATTAATCGACTTTGTTTCAGTTACATTACGATAACACACGTGGTTCTATGAAATCTCGCTAATAGGCTAAATAAACGGGGACAGAATTCTGTTACCATATGGATTTGCTAATACCAAGTAAACTTAGAACTTAGAAGATTAGAACTTTATAAAGAACAAGCAAAATATTTATAGAAATGTGGAATGAAATGAAACTATGAATACGAAATAAATAAATCAATGTTATACTTGTATTATAATAATGCACTTATTTCCACACAATGAATCATTACGCAGCTCTCGCAGCGTGAAATTATTTCATTCAGCTTTAATCAAGCAAGAAATATTAATTACAATATTACTATGAATGCAGATAAGTACACCGAAGTCATAAATGTCTTGTTTTAAATATCTGTTACTACATTACGACTTCGCGTAGTTTTGCAACATCCGAGGCTTTTAACGAAATTAATATGCTAATTTAGCTTATCTTGTTCAATTCAAGATATAATACCAATGTTGTACTTAATATTAAATGTATAACTGGTTTTTCCTACAATCTACGTATACATGCTAGAAACATTTTATTCAAAGCTGCACAATCCAATTTTCTTGCTCCAGATATTACAACTATCTTAACGATTTGAAAATCGTTTGTGTTATCAGAGATCTGATAAGAGATCTAAGATCCCGTAGTATAATAAATGTATATCGAGAAGTGTACCAGATAATTGATGTACATGTACTCCTACGAGGCATCGTGTAATGAAATTATTATCAGCGATGTACGACTCTGGCTTTCAACATTTACAAAAACGATTCCAATCTACAGAACGCGGCCATTTTGTTCAACGAACCCAGCCCAATTTTCTTATTCCAGATACGAGGGCTATCTTCTCGTGACGGTTCAAGAATCGTCCCTTTTATCGCGTTTGTTGGCCGCCTTCGTGAATCCACGATTACGTAACCTGTCATCGCGTCTCGAGATCTAAAATGATCTCTCATTCATAGCTGAAGTAATAACTTTAGGATGTATGACGATTTTTATGGAAACGTGTGGAAAATAAAAATTGAGCTGCCCTGAAACTACGTTCCATTTTTTCTTAATAAAAATTCTAATTTACTTTGGATATTTTTTATCTCTTTATGTATTAGTACATACTGTGTCTCTTTAGATTATTAAATATTCTGTCTAGTCATAATTCATTCATTTTGATGAATAAAAATGAAAAACGGAACGACTTTCCGAGCAATCCAATAAAATGTTCCAATATCTACAAAATATCCATAATTAAATACACAGGCGTGCTCGTTAAAATGTACAGGGTAAAATGAATCTGTTTTTCAGCAGTTGTTCAACCTTGTTTACGAAAGTATGAATTCGCTTAAACGTCCGCGCTCTCGTCGTCCTCCTCGTTTTGTACACCTCCCGTTTCCGAGTTTTTTCACGGTTCATACATGTTTAAACAGCGTGCGTTTTACGAGGAACGTTAACTCAACGTAGGTGGGGATCCGCCAATTCGTTAGCCGGCGATTTTTATAATCAAGCCAGACAACGCTCATTCATAAACACCATGTGTCCCAACACACCTTCACATCACAGTCTAACAAAAATGACTCCTTTCATTTTTTTTAATATTCATTACGTGATTTTTATATGGCATTTTATGGTTTTCCAATTTTATCTGAAATTTACTGTATTCATATGAGAATTTAAATTCCGACCGATGATGTTTAAACATACTGAATTTTAGAAATTTTATTGGAAACCCATAAAACAATATATAAGTTTCGGATGATGAAGTATACTTAAATATAGAAGGAATCTAACGATGTATGTAGGCACACGTGGAACGCGATAAAACTTGCATGCTCAGCTCGAGATTGTTTGCATTCTGTGAAGTAATCTGCATAGTACGAGAAACAGCATACTTCTAAATTATGATATAGTGCAGCCAGCAATTTTGCATCATCATTGCAGCCACGACTTCGACAATCATTAAGATATTACTTTAATTACAGTGCGTCTAACTGTTCAATATTTTCACAGAAGAACAAAGCTAATGTAATCGAACGCCCACATGGCACGTCCTCTTCTACACTTCAATTTTCCTGGAAGTGGACACAAGGACATGACCGTAATTACTTCATTAACGCGTTTTCAAAAACACATTCTGCCAATACAAAGA